ATCTCTTCCTCCAAGAAGGCACCCCCATGGCTGAACGGGATCCCTCCCTTGGGATGCCAGATCCCCTGGCCCACCCCTCCCTAATGCTGTTCTAAACAATTCTCCAGATACCGTCCATTACTTTTTCAAATTGGAAATAATTTAGGCTCATGGCAGAAAAATTTTTGCCACAAGGAAAATGTGCTAGCACGGGGGAAAGCAAGCTACAATGCTATCTAAATACAGTATGTGCTTTGTAAATACGCTCAGGAAGGAAAGAGGCAGGAGGACAAGACACCCAGTGTGGACTGTGGCTGCAGGTGGATGAGGCTCGGGCCATTTTTATTTTCATCTCTTTCTATACATTTTAAGTTTCCTACAATGAGCAGGTGTGATTTTGATAATCAGGACCAAGTTATTTTTTGAACATAGAGATTTATCGTTTTACTTGCCTGTCTGCCCCCCACGGGCTGTGAATGTTCCTCAGTGGGGAAAACTGTGCTTGAATCATTCCTGTGTCTCCACCAACTAGCACTGGGCAGGGCACATAGCAGGCGTGTGATAAATATGGGATGGATGGATGGATGGAGTGAGTTGGGGATTATACAGCTCAGCAGTTAAGAATAAGAGCTTAGGCTCAGACTGGGGTTGGAGTTTGCTCTGCCTCTTGGCAGCTGTGTGACATTGAGTAAGTCACTTAACCTCTCTGAGCTTCTGTTTCTTCATCCGTGAAAGGGGCTCCACTTGCTGCCTGATGGGAAGCTGAGGGTATGCATGCACAGTCCCTGACACAGACCAGACCCTCAACAGCCTGCAAAGACTGGATCTTCAACTGGAGGAGATGGGGAATGGGTGCCCTGCTGCTCCTTCCAAAAATGCAGACTGATTCTCTCCCTGTCCTTCTTCATGCCCAGGCTTCAAAATCAAACTGAATTTGGCTTCTGCACAGGCTCTGCCCGTGGCTAGCTGTGTCCCCTTGAGCAAGCCCCATCACCTCTACGCTTTTCTGTTTTCTTCTGCAGGATTAAAGTATTGACAATAATAGCTGACATGTCTTAAGTGCTTACTGTGTGCCAGGCTCTGTGCTGAGCACCTCCTGTATACCGATAAGTGAGGTGCTATGATGGTTAGGGTTCACATTGCTAGTTTACTCCCTCCTCCAGCTGGACAGCCTTGGGCAAGTGCCTTAACCTCTCTGTGCCTCCCTTTCCTCCCTGTAAGATGGAGTTACCAACAGCGTGCACCTCACTGGGTTGCTTATGAAGATTACGTGATGTAATAGGTACAAAGTGTTTCTAAGAGTGCCTGGCACTTAGCACACAGTCGATTCATCTTAGGTAGTCATCATGACAGCCGGCTGCTCTTATGTACTCCTTAGCCCCAAAAGGAATCGGGAGGCTCAGAGAGGTGAAGTGACCGGCCCAAAGCTGCACAGTCAGCAAGCTATAGAACGGGAAGGGGGACCCTGATTTGGCTGCTCAGAGCACAGGCTCTCCCAGGGCTGGGGGAGGTTAAATGAGCCGGCAAGGTGCATGGCACATCCAAGGGGCCAGCTCCACCTGGGAAGTCAGACTTCTCACCCGGCCCCAGCCCAGCCCAGCCCCGTGAGCGGCTCCTCCCTCCCCTCCCAGCCCATGATGGGCTCTGAATCCTTTACAGCTCCAGGCCCGCATCACTGCATCAAGCAGAGCCCTTGCCAGCTTCAGAGAAAAACCAAAAGTGTTCAGCATCAGGTCAAAGCAGCGTCTTGTTTTTATTAGCATTAATCTAATACGTTGTCTTTCCTCACTGAACTCTGAGTAAGTTAATCAAGGACAGGCTGGATTTGTGTTTTCTTAATAACACCGCCTCATTCCGAAGGCTGCCTGCTGTGAGCTCTAGGCTCCGGGCTTCTTTCTTAGTTTCTCTTCCTTCTCTCTTTACATTTTATAAAATATATCCGATGTCCAGGGGCAGAGGGGTTAGTATGGTACAGGAAAAGGCTCACAAGCTTTGGAATGAAATGGACTTTGTTTCAAATCTTAGTTCCTCACTTTGACCCATGTGACCTAGGTTTCTGAGTTTAAAATTTTCCCCATTTGTGACACAGAACAACAGTGGTCTCTAACTTTCTATGTTGTGATAATTAAATAAGGAAATGAAGCACTTACAACATGGTCTAGCCCATAATGATCACTCAAGAGATGGTAGCCATTATTACTGCTATGGATAATAACACCACCGATGAAGGTGACCTATTATTATGAACCAGGAGATGTGATAAGCATCTTACATATATCATTCCATTCAAATAATATGTGAAAAACAGGGTGCCTGGGTGGCTCACTCGGTTAAGTGTTTGTTTGCTTTCAGCTCGGACTGTGACCTTGGGATCCTCGGATCCAGACCCATGTCAGGCTCCCTGCTCAGAGGGGGAGTCTGCTTCTCCCTCTCCCTGTGCCCTTTGCCCCCACTCATTCTCTCTCTCTCAAAAATAAAATTTTAAAAAATCTTTCATATGTGAAAACAGGACAGTGGCTGGCACGATGTAGGTATTTAAGAAATGACAGTAATTGCTAGTAGTAATGACAGTGAGAGTTCATTCTCCCAACAACTGGGAGGTGTTGTGAGTGTTGTTTGTATCAGTTGCACCACAAGGATTTCATATTCTGTCTGGAACCTTGAGAAGCACAGGCGATTATCATTTACCTAAAGACCCTGGTAAGGACCAGAGAGGAAGGAGGAACATTTGATCAAGCCTGGCGGGGTGGGGGGTGGGCACCAGGGACAATTTCCTGGAGGTGAATGAAGATGAGAGCTGGAGGAAGAGTGGAGTTGACCCTTGGAGGCACTCCAGAGGGATGGTCATTCATTCATGGGTCCATCCAATCTTTCATTCATTCACCAAGTAGGTACTGACACCAAGTCTGGGCTGGGTGCTGTCCCAGGTGCTGAACGAACAGACGCCCCACCCCCTTTCCCGGGGGGAATGATGGGAATAAGACTGGCAACATCTCTGCCCTCATGGAGCTGACAGTCTAGGAGGGGAGGCGGGCTACAAACGAGGAAGCAAACACATCAAGAGGATGCTTCTGGATGATGGTAAGTGCCGTCACAAAAATAAAACCGGGGAATATGGTTGTGACCATGTACAAAGTGGGGCTATTGTACTTAGGAAGGCCTCTGTGGGATGGTGGGGTTTGACTGGGGACCCAAAGGAAGGGAGGAAGGGAGCCATGGAAAGATAGAGGGGAAGAGCATCCCACATAGAAGGAACTGGCCATGCAAAGACCCTGCATTAGGAATGGGCTTGGTGCATTCAGCAAAGGGGAAGAAGGACAGTGGGGCAGGTGGTGGTGGTGAGGGGGAGAGGGGGAGTTTTACAAGATGAGATTGGAGAGGTGGCCACAGTAGGAGACTCTGGAATTTATCCTAGGTGGGATAACAGTATATCCTAAGGTGTGGGCTTGTGACAAACTTTGGGGCTTGCAAACTACCAGGAGGAGTTGGGAGTGGCTGGGGAGAGAGACAACCAGGTGGGTGGAGAAGGAAAGAAAAGCCACTTCCCGATTTCTCCATCAGTGCAGCACCTCACACCTCACCCGTGCCTACAAGATGGGGTCCCTTCCACAGGCAGATCCATGAGAGTTTCCTGGTCACCTTTAAGAACCTATTATGTGCCAAGTGCTGTCTCAGTGAGCTCTCAGGAAAAGCCCAGATAGGAGGGATCACTGTCCCTACTTCACAAACGACAAAACTGAAGCATGAGGAGGTAAAGCCGTGTGCCTAGCCACATGGCTGGCTGGGACGGAACTGGAATACAAATCCAAGTGCCCCAATCTGTTCTGCCACCTCCCACCTTCTCCTTCACCTCCCTGTGAACGCTGCATTCTTGGAAGAGGCAGCTTCTAGGAAATCCCCAAGGGTGGGAAGGTGGGGTCTCCTGGCTGGCTCCTGAGCCAGGTATGGGGTGGGACTGAAGCAGGGGAACATGCTCCCCTGGGTGAGTCCCCGCCGCTAATCCTGTTTCCCTCAGTGGTGAGAGAAGGGGTTTTCTAGGAGCTGAATCACAGCGGAAGTGTGACATGTGGCAGGAAACACAAAGCCTGGGGAGGTTTTCCTTCTGTCCTGATTGGTGGTGGATCTTCCCAAACCATCTGGTCTGGACTCCCAAAACGTGCATTTGTGTTCGTCTCCGGAGCTGCAGGGTTGCAGGCTCCGTCCCCGCGCGCTGGGCAGACGCTGGGCAGACCTCAGCCAACTCGTGGGAGATGGTTAGCAGGCCGAGTACTCGGGCCAGGCAGGTTTGAGCTCAACTCTACCACTCTACGGCTTTGGGCAAGCATCCCCCTTCACCAAGCCTATTTCCAGAAGTGTAACCTGGGTGTAGTATCACACTCCTTGCTCAAGTCCGTGGGGCTGAGCGGAAATCAGGTAAGGTACTGCACTCACAAAGGACAGCCCTTTTTGACTGAAAGGCTAAGAAAACTAAAACATGCCCAGGGCCATGATGCCTTCCAGGAGCCATCCCCAAGAGATCCGGCGAGGCATCCTGACAGGCCACACAGTAGAGCAGAAGCTCTCACAGCCCTGGGCTCGTGGTGCCTCAGTTTCCCCATCCCTAAAATGGGAACGGGAGCGCCATCCATGCGGAATCGTGGCAACACTTCAATACATGTAGAGGGCTTAGAAAAGTACCTGGCACACAGTAAGTGCTCAGTAGATGCCGCTTCATTTTCATGTGTATTTATTTAACAAGCCTGAGAAGGCTGCAAGGAAGTGTCAGGCTTTGAACTCTGACAGATGTAGGGTCCAAATCCATGCTTGGCTCTTTACAAGCTGTGTGACCTTGGGCAAGTTACTTTACCTCTCTGAGCTTCCCATTTCTCTCTGAAATGGAGGTGACATCAGAGCCCCTGGCATGTCAATAGCGGTAACTGCATGGCAGGTGGTTCCCATTAAACACTGAGACCTGGTGGCTGTTACTATATTCTTCTCAGCCCCTCCCTTCTCCTTGGTCACGGTCCCTGTCTACCCCTTACCTCGCTCCTCCTCCTTCTCCCGGACGATCCTCCCCTTGAGGGCTCGACTCCAGGCTCCACCGTAATCACCCAGCTTGGTCCTCTCGCTCCCGTCTTTGGCCTTGAACCAGGGTCCGTACCGGCGGGCAAGGCTCGAGGCCTCGCCCGCATCCCGGAAGCCTCTGCCCAGATGCAGGTCACCCAAGAAGGGCAGCTCGGCGCCCTCAGCCGGGACCCCCGCGGCAGGGCTGGCCTGGTTCTGGGAGACAGCGGGCTGGCCCACGAAGCCAGAGTGCAGGAAGACCAGGCTCCCGGCCATCAGGTAGAGCACCAGGAAGGTAAAGAAACGCACGGGCTTCCTGCGGAAGTACCGCTGGAATTTGAACCAGAGCTTGGCCATAGCAGGATCATTCCGGACTGGCTCGTTGGGGCTCAGCTGGTGGGGCGTTGGGGGGTGGGGGCGTTCAGGAAGGGGAGGGAGGGGGCTGCGTTTCCCAAGCTTCCCTCAGGGATGGAACCCCTGGGGGTGTACAGCCTTCTTCCCTCCGTGAAGGTGAGGGCCGAAACCAGAGCGGGAGGCCAAGTCTGGCCCTTCTGAGGTCAAGGCGAGCTTCTCTGGCCCACAAAAGGGGCCCAACACCTGGGAGCTGGTCCCATTTTCCTACATCTTGTTCTCTGCGTCAGAGAGTTCCCAAAGAACTTTGACCATAGCAATCGCAGGAGAATTCCACCGGCCACCGGCACTGCGGCTCACTTCTCGCCTCTTCTTGGCTCCTCAGGCCTGTCAGGGCTGGATGATTTCACTCAGGGCGGTTTTCTGGCCCCTTCCCCAGCTGGGGGCCAAGCTCAGTGTGTCCACCTCATGGAAACAGAAGCTGGCGGGCTTCCATCGGCTCAAGCACTAAGGCTCAGGGCTGCCACCTGCAAAACAGTGTGGACACAGATTTAAGAAGCCCCCTCACAGAGGCCAGAGCTCAAAGGGTTCCTGAACCTTCTCAAGGGGGATGCAGAGGCCCAGAGAAGGGGGGGGGACCAATGTCCTGAAGCACCCAGCACTGCTGGGTCTTCTGGAATCCCTGCCTTTTTTAGAACTACACTGGGAATTTGGGGGCTTGACTCCTACGGGGCCCACATTTTGGGACAAGCTTTATCTTGGACAAGCACACGTTCTTATGCCCCACATTTCCTATGTATTTGTCAAATATACACGGATTCATGAATTATTTTAAGTCCAAAAAGTACCTTCTAGGGTCCTTGCTGAACTGCCTGATGGACCTGGCTGATTCTGAACCAGATGAAATTCACCCCCCCCCCCACCAGCAAATACTTAGTGAGCCCCTACTATGTAGCAGGCACTGTCCTAAGTTCTGGAGATAAGTCCCTTCCTTCACAGGGCTCACATTCTAGAGTGGGAGAGATCAAAGCCCTAGCCCCTCTCCTCTATCCAAGGAAGAAAAGGAAATCAGGATTATTTAGCCACAGAGTCATTCGCTCTGCATTTATTTAGCATCTACAGTATGCCCAGCTTTGTGCCAAGCCCTCTACGTGTATTACTCATTCATTCTTCCCAGTGTTCCTAAAGGAGGTAACAATTTCCCTACTTTACAGATTAGGAAACTGAGACCACATAGCCAACCCAGAGTTGGGATTTCAACCCAGGACAGTCCAAATGCAAAACCACAGCTCATAATCACTGCCTTTGTGACTCAGCTTTGTCCCACGTGACTGGGTATCAGCTGGGGGTTCAGAGAGAGACCCTGAGGCAGGAGCCCATCTCCACTGCCTCCCAGCGACCAGTGGCTCACTCTTTGACAGGGGGCCCCTCAGAGTGTGGTCCAAGGAACATCCAATTCATAATCACCTGGGAGTCTGGTCAAGTATGAAGATTCTGGATTTCTCCAACCAGAATTTCTGGTACAAGGGGAAACCTACAGGTGTAACAAGGGGCCCTCAGGTAATGGTGATGGGCACAGAGGGCCGAGGGCACTGCTTTATGAGTAAACGTTAAGGATCATTAGCCAGGAGAACAGAACGTGAATTAGGAAACAGCCTTCTGGCCAATGTGATTTCATATTATCACCAGCAGGGGGCCTCGTGACAATCTTGACCAATGCACAGGATTAACTGGCAGCCAATGGAGTATCTGAATGGTAACAGCCCCCTCTAATCCAGAGCAGCATGGGAGTTTAACTGTGGTTCAAGGTAGATTCCATCGGTCCTCCATATGCCATCTTACTCATTCCCAGACAAAGCACTAAGCACCTACTGGGCACCAGTTATTGTTCTAGGCACTTGGAATAGATAAACAAAACAGCCCCAAATCCATGCTTTTGTGGAGTCAAACCACCTGTTCATCCATGGATTCATCTATCTGCCCATCATCCTTTAATCCATCCATCAGTCCACCTACTCATCCATCCACAGACCCGTACCTCTGCAACAAATAATACATTATATGTTAAAAAAAAAATAGCAGGAGGGGAAGAATGAAGGGGGGAATCGGAGGGGAGACAAACCATGAGAGACTATGGACTCTGAGAAACAAACTGAGGGATCTAGAGGGGAGGGGGGTGGGGGGATGGGTTAGCCTGGTGATGGGTATTAAAGAGGGCACGTATTGAATGGAGCCCTGGGTGTTATACACAAACAATGAATCAGGGAACACTACATCAAAAACTAATGATGTAATGTATGGTGATTAACATAACATAATAAAATAAAAAAAACCCCACAATCTACCCATCCATCCATTGTCCATTCCTTAGCCCATCCATCAATCCACCTACCCATCCATCCATCCACCATCCATCTCTCCATCCATCTGAACTACAGCAGCCCATCAATCCATGCAGCTCTCCCGCAACCAGCCGTCTACCCGTTCTTCCATTCATTCAAAAACATGTGTTGCTTGCCTATTGTGTGTGCTTGGGATGCAGGAATAAATCATCCAGAGTCCCACTTTCAGAGAATTCAGAGTCTACTGAGGGGGACAGCAACTTAATCAACCACCACACTAAATCACTATACTAGATAGTGATAAATCCTGCAGGAGATGTATGTAAAAGATATAGAACAGCAACTAATTTTTTTTAGAACAGCAATTAATGTTAATAGCTAATGTTTACTGAGCACTTATTATGTGCCGGACACTGCTCTGAACACATAGGTACTCTGACTTAATCCTCATACCAATTCTACAAGGGAGATCTGTAGTCATTTTACAGAGGAGAGAAATGAGGCTCAGAGAGATTAAGTAATCTATCCAGGGCCACACAGCCATGGCGAGCCTTGAAGGCCAAGCTCAGGAGTCTGGATGATGTTCTAACTGCATGCGTGGGGAACCAGTGACGTTTCATGGTCACAGCTCGAAAGCCTCCAGACAGTGGGTGGTGACCCATGGTATTCCATGCAGATCACACACATGCCTGATGTTTCTGCAGCTGGGCCAGGATGAAGAAAAGCCAGCAGCCATCAAGGGGATGGACAGGGGGACACCAGCCCCTCTAGAAGTAGAGAGTCCAGAGCATGGGCTATGGAGGTGGAATGACCTGGGTTCAGGACCTGCCTCTTCCACCCACCTGCTGTGTGACTAGGTCAAGACACCTGTTCTCACCAACTGAAGATCCTCGCCTGTGAAGTGGGTGTAAGAATCTTGACACCTCCCAAAAGATGTACTGCTGGAAGGACTGCATTTAAAGATGTCCGCAGAGTGCCTGGCACATAGTAGGTGCTCCCGGAAAGCACCCCCAGCCCCGCTTCTCTCAAGGGCACATGTGAACAGCCTTCAAAGGCATTTGCCTCAGCAGCACATCTGCTGCTGTGGAGACGGCAGAGATTCTGGCTGTCATGTTCCCTGTGGCTTTTTGTCTCTCTGAGGATATTTCTGGGTCTTGTCCTTTGTTGTTGTTCCCTTCTTGTTCTTTTCTATTTCAACACATCTTTTCTCTAAGTGGGTGCCAAATGGGTTTTAAGAGGATAATGAGCTCATTAGAAGCTGGCAGGGAACAGACAGAGATGGAGGCATTGGTGATGTGGGGAGTGAAGGGGGCCCACCCGGGAAGGGACTATGCAGAGGGAGGCTCCTCTCCCCCGGGGCCCCAGGGGCAGTGCTGACTTGAGCCACCCGTGCACCTGCCAGTGCTGGGAGGGAAAGCACCCCGGAAGCTGGACTCCACAGAGGTGGGGGCATCCTGTCTGTCCTCTTTCTGAGTGAGCCCCAACATCTGGGGCACAGGTGGTCCCCAAGAGGTATAGGACTGAGTGAAAAGAGTCAGGGGACTGACCTCCCCTGGGGTCTCAAACCTAAACTCTGTCACTAGAACACTGGGGACAGCCTCAGAGAACAATGTCCAGGGCTCTGTGGAGACAGTATCTTCCATTTCTCAGCTCTGGGTGGTCCCGGGGTTCAGGGGTCCCCGCTGAGCCACAGTCCCACCTCCCCAAGGGAACCCCCGAAGACTTCTCTGCCTCTCATGACCCTCTGTCATTCTCTCCCCATTCCCAAGTTGCTCTCTGTCTCTTTCCCTCTACATGTCTCTCTCCAGACAGAAATTCTAACCCCTAAGGGAATGGGGACATGAAGCGACCTGCCATTTGTGGAACGCCTGTCCCATACTGGACACTGCGTGCAAAGGCTTTGCAAACATATTCTCACAAACTCCTCCCTCCTGGCAACCCATAAGGCAGGTGATGGTTCTTCCCAGCCCACAGACGGCGCAACTACAACCCCGAGCAAGGGGTACGTGTGGGCCTTCACCTCTCGATCTTCATTTGCCCGTTATGTGTTGGAAACCACAATCCCGTCAGCATTCTCTCCTGCTGCTTACAGGTGTGAGACTCAGGGCAGGTGCCCTCACCTCTGTGAACTGCAGTTTCCTCTCTATGAAATGGGTCAACCACAGAGTCCTCTTCTTGGGGTTTTGGAGGGTCCGATGTGACAGCCCACACAGGGCTGGAGCTGGTGCTCACTATGAGCTCTCAGGCTCCATCCCTCTCCATTCTGCATGAGAACTCTCGGAGCCTCAGTTTCCCCATCGACCGAATGTGGTGGATGACATGATCCCTGTCTCCCTCCGAGGGCTAGTGTGAGTTTCCACAGCGGGGAGGGCAAGAGGCCCCCTTTGCAAGAATGGCAGCATTTGGTTACTGCAGCTCATGTTTCCAGCTGGAGCCTCAGAGTGTCTAAACACAGCTTATTTTTAGCACCGAGTGAACCTCTGGTGCCAAGCTGCCAAGAAAATGACTGGTGAGGCAGAGCTGCCCCGCAGGGAGGGAAAATGGGAGCTACAGCAGCCCTGGGGCTCCCTCCCCTGGGGGGGGTGTAGAGCTGCCCCTCCAGATTGCGGGGGCAGGTAAGTCTGGCTGGAAGCCCATGAGCCTGGGCAGCGGGCACTCCCTCTCTCTCTCTCTCTCTCCAGCCCCCTGAACTTGACTTGAGGGCACTAGCCCAGGGACCAGCTGACCCTTCGGACACCATCCAGGTTTGTGAAGTTGTGATTTCTTCACACTCTGGGTAGGAGGTGCAGCGCGGGGGGGTGGGGGGTAGTTCTCCAAGAAACTAGGAGCCCAGACCAGAGACGAAGTTT